TCTTTGTGGGTGTGCTGACCTCCAAGAGCACGCTGAACACGCTTGGGGTAGCTGTCAACCGCACGCTGGCCCACCGCCTGGAGCGCCTGGTGTACTTCACTGGCACACGGGGCCGCAAGGTGCCCCACGGCATGACAGTGGTGGTGCACAGCGATGAGCGGCCCATCTGGAACATGTACCAGACCATCAGGTACCTTCTGGACCACTACGTGAATGACTTCGACTGGTTCTTCCTGGTGCAGGATGATACCTACACGGAGGCGCACCGCATCAGCCGCCTGGTTGCCCACCTCAGCATCGACACCCACCTCTACCTGGGTCGCCCCGAGGAGTTCATCGGTGGGGACACCGAGGGACGCTACTGCTATGGGGGGTTTGGCTACTTGATGTCCCGCAGCCTCCTCCTGCTCTTGCAGCAGCATCTTGAGAGCTGCCGCAATGACATCCTGAGCGCTCGGCCAGATGAGTGGCTTGGCCGCTGCATCATCGACTACACAGCCATCAACTGTGCAGACGAGCACGAGGTAGGTTCTGCAGTGGAGATGGCCTTTGGGAGCTTGGTTCTGGCCCAGTTTGTTTACCTATCTCCCTGTGGGCTCTCAGGTCCTGGAGATACCAGCCCTTGCACCCTTTTGTCCTTTGAGCTTGCTGTACTGGCAGATGGTGGGAGCACGGGTTGGGGCTGGCCGTGACCCATCTCTCCTGGCTGCAGGGCCTGCATTACCACTATTTTGAGCTGGAGAAGAACACAGACCCTGAGCGGGAGACTGATCTCCGTTTCCAGAGTGCCTTCACTGTCCACCCCGTGCTGGACCCCCTCCAGATGTACCGGCTGCACAAGTACTTTGCACAGGTGGAGCTTGAGAGGACATATCAGGAGATCCAGCAGCTCCAGGTGAGACCTGCTGGGAGGACCTGGGCTCCTCCGGTCATCCCATTATGGTTGCTCTGTGTCACCTCTCTCCTCTGAGGTTTTCTCACCTGAACCTGCTCTGGGATGGGATCAGCTGAGCCTGTGTGGCTGCAGGAGCAGTGGTGCTGACTGGAGGGAAGCTTTGGACCCAGGTGGGTCCTGGAGCTACAGTGGTGGTTCAGGGTGACAGAGCCAACAGGGTGCTGAAGTCTACCAGCAAAAGCCAGGCAGGGTTTGGAGAGGGCACGGATCCTACCAATGGAGGTGGTGTGCCATATTTGGGATGCTGTTCAGAGCAAACCTGAGGTGCTGGACGGGAGTCAGGCTGAAGGCAGAGTAGTTTTGGCACTGCTCTTTGGGCCAGGAGTGGCTGATCTCTCTGTATCAGAAGTCAGCTTGTCTGCAGTCAGAGCTGCAAGACTACTTGCACCTGCCTTGGCTCTCATTCCTCTATCTCTCCTCTTGCAGCTGGAGATCCAGAATGCCAGCAGCCTGTCTGCTGATGGGGACCACATAGCCACATGGCCTGTTGGCATCCCACCCCCTTTCCAGCCCAAAACCCGCTTTGAGGTGCTGCGCTGGGACTACTTCACAGAGGAGCAGGTCTTTGCCTGCGTGGATGGCTCCCCCAAGTGTGAGCTGCACGGCGTGGATATGGCGGACGTGGCTGATGTGGTGGCCACGGCCATGGATTGTACCAGCCAGTGCTCCACGTCCGCAAGCAGCAGCTGGTGAATGGGTACCGGCGCTTCGACCCCACACGCGGCATGGAGTACACACTGGACCTCCAAGTGGAGGTGATCACTCAGAAGGGGCACAGCCGCGCCGTCACCAAGCGTGTGCACCTGGTGCGGCCCCTCAGTGAGGTGGAGATCATCCCCATGCCCTATGTGACAGAGGCCAGCCGCATCAATGTCATCCTGCCACTGACAGCCCACGACCGAGACTATGCCACCCACTTTCTGGAGACATATGCAGCAGCCGCCTTTGAGAGCAGCGAGAATGCGGTGCTTACCTTCCTCTTCATCTATGACCCCTTTGAGGCCCAGCAGGTCACCCAGAATGACATCTTTGCACCTGTGAAGGCCCAGATCACAGAGTATGAGCGCAAGTATGCAGAGGTGAAGATCCCGTGGATTAGTGTTAAGACAGATGCACCCTCCCAAATCAAGGTCATGGACATCATCTCCAAGAAGCATCCTGTGGACACGCTTTTCTTTGTGGCTGGCGTGGGGACAGAGGTCACTGTTGACTTCCTGAATCGCTGCCGGATGAACACCATCAACAACTGGCAGGTCTTCTTCCCCATCCACTTCCAGGGCTACAACCCTGCCATCGCTTACCACAACCAGGTACCGCCCACCACGCTGGATCTGCAGCGAGAGACAGGGCGCTTTGACCGTGATGTCTTCCATGAAGCCTGCTTCTACAATGCTGACTACATGGCTGCACGCACCCGTATGGCGGGTGATGTGCAGGAGAACGAGGACATCCTGGAGACCCTGGACATTTATGACATGTTCATCAAGTACTCCAACCTCCACGTCTTCCGGGCTGTGGAGCCTGCCCTGCTGCAGCGCTACCGGCACCAGGCCTGCAACCCCCGGCTCAGTGAGGAGATCTACCACCGCTGCGTGCAGAGCAGCCTGGAGGGCATAGGCTCTCGCTCCCAGCTGGCCATGGTGCTGTTCGAACAGGAGCAGGGCAACAGCACCTGAACCTCATGGCGCAGAGGGACTGGCCCTGTCCTGCCGTGCCTGCCTGCCCACCAGTCTTTTCTGCTGCCCAAATCTGTCTTCCTCCTCCCAGCGGCTGCAGGGATTGTTGGTGGCCAAACTCATGACTAGCCTCGCTGGGACTGCCCAGGCCGGGGTCTGCCAGTCTGGGGTTCTTCTGGAGTGGCCATGGCTGTGCAGACCCCAGGGCGAGGTGGGGTCAGCGTTGCTGAGCTGTGAGTTGTCATGCCGAGCTCCTCACCCCAGAGCTGCTGTCTACCAGCCCCATCCTTCTGTCCTGCCCCTGCTGCTCAGTGGGGAGGCAATGGACTGCCCTGTCCCTTGCTGTCCCCTGTCAACAGGGTCATGCAGAGCCTAAAGGCCACTCTGCTGCGGGGCCATGACTGCTATGGGGATGGGGTGATCCCTCATGGTTTCCCCAGTGTCCTTGGTCAGGGCTGTGCCCTTTACTCCCTCAGAGCATCAGCCTGGTAGTGCAGGGAGGGCCATGTCCCTGCACCTGCCACAGGCTTGGACAGTGAGATGGGGCACATCCCACCCCAAAAGAGCAATAAGGAGATTGGTTTTGGGGTTTTGCCACTTGGCAACAAGCCGGAGCACTCCCAGCTGGTCAGGGTGAGGAGTACTTGGCCCCCGGGGCTAGTGAGTACAGCGGATGCTGGAGGGGATCCTGCTGTAGTCACATACCATGAGCTGCTCCCCATGGGAATCATGACCCAGGCCGTTTTGGCCTTCGCAGTATCAGTAGGACGTCGGAGGTCGCAGCCCTCAACAAGAGCTTCCCAACAGAGGCGGGAGTCCTCCCCACCATGGGGCTGCCCTTGGGGTCGGGGAACACAATGCCCGGCACTGGTGGGCACAGCAGAGGGTTTGGCTGTGCATCTCCTAAGGAGAAAGCGACTGAGGAGCCACTATCTGCTCCTGGTTTGTATTTAATAGTGGGGAGAGGAGGGGGGAGGGGTGCATTTACACTAATAAAACAGAGAGATTAACCGTTTGGCCCACCTGATTCTTCCCTTCGGCACTTCTGGGTGTCCTGTCTGTGTGGTGTTTGGTGCTGGCTTCTTGTACAACATGTGGCTGCAGCTGGCTGGACACTTCCTTGCAGGGATGCTGCTTTCCCCAAGCCACCTGCAGCATCCTCTATCTCAGATGCGAGATAACTGCCTTTCCTTACTGAGGCAAGGGGGAGCCCCTCTGCTTATGGACGGGCTGGCAGGCACTAGGCCAAGCACACTTTTGGGGCCCTCCTGCTGTCACTACCTGCTGCCACTCACTGCAGCAGGATGCTGAGCCTCTTCCTATGGGAAGTCCCAGTGCCCATGTGCATGGGGCATTGCCTTGTCTTTCTGGAGCCATACATTCATGGTCCCATTGACCAGGTTTCCAGCCCTCCTCAGCCCCAGCTGCAGGTGTAAAAGCACCATGATGAGGGGTTGAGGCAGTCGTGTCTTCCCACATGTGCTGTCTGCATAACAGCCTTTGTGGGTTGCATGTGAGTAATGGGGGATACCTGGCCCATGTCAGAGCAGAGGTTGGGTGCCCAAGTAGGGTGAGCTCTACCCTCCAGCATCTGGGATTAGCTATGAAGGAAACTCTTGGACCAGAAACCGTATCTGAGCACTGTGTTGAATCGTTAGGGCTGGACCTGCCCTCTCTGCATTGGCTTCACTATTTTTGCATCTTGGGGCTTCTCAGCATCTTGTTCTTTCCAGTTCTGAGTCAAGCAGAGCACCATGGTCCTGACCCACACTGTTTCATCACCTACAGCTATTTGCATTACAAGGATGGGGTTTGCATCCCTGCCCATGCTGCCTGCTCCAGGCATGATTTTCATGGCACTGCATGCTCCTCCTACCAGCCCTTTGGTTGTCATGTTTGACTTGTTTGAGAAACACATGCATCAAAGAGACATCCCCAAGAAGATTAACTAAACCTACTTGTTGCTAGTGCTCAGTAAAATTCATGAAGAGCCCCTGGGCTGTGGGGCATGCTTCCCCTGAAGACACCTCATTCATAGATTCCTGCTCCAGTCTTCATATCCACAGTGTAGGAGCATGTATGTTTAAATATAATTTTATTATATTTCAGGCAATAGCCGTTAACTTGCTCCAAGTATTTCTATTTTTGATCTCCCCCAAATGCATTCTTAATTCCCTTTAAATGCGAATCTGGGACAGAGGGAACGAGGTGGATGCAGGTGGATTGCAGATACATTTCTCCTCTGAAAAGCAGACCTAGAAGTTGGATGTGATTAGGCATTAGAAGAGTATCCAAATGATAATAAGGTAAACCAGCTTCAAATCAAGTTGGCTGCAAAAAGAAACCCAGAATTGTATTTAATTATTGCAAGATGGTCTAGATGGAGATGCTTTTGCCTCGTCATTGCTGTTTGCCCAGGCTGATTTAGAGCATTTGCCTACTTAACATCCCCCATCTCCAAAGTACACAGGAGCAAATGACAGTGCTTGTGGCACTCCCAGCACTGTCATTGCTGCCTTTCAAAAGGAGCTGGCAGGGTTTGAAGTCACTTTGGTGTTTGCCAGGTTATCTGCAATGCCAAAATGTGCCAAAACCCAGGGGGAGGATGTATAAATCTTTGGGAAGAGGTTTGGTGATGGGAGCAGGCTGGCCTGCTTGGCTAGGGGTCAGAACAACCTTCCTGCACCTGGGTGAAGTATATGTGCTCACTGGGCAATGGCAGATACCTGTGATAATGGGGACATGGTAGCAACTGTGCTGTGCCCCTCTCCTGCTTGCACAGGGCTGGTAGGCACAGACAGGGCACTAGACTAGGACAGTGTTGAAAGAAGTAGGGTAGTAATGTGGGTGGCTGAGCAGACAGGGATGTTCTGCAATCCTTGGTCTAGTTTGACCAGTACTGCCATGCAACGTATGGGTTTTTTGGAAGAGGGTGTGAAGGGCCAGTTCAGAGCCAAGCACTGTGAAGTAGTACAAGAGGGGCTGGCTGGGTGCGCTGGGGCTGAGTGGGTGCCTGCCTCTGCTCTCCTTCCTGTACCATGTCAAAGAAAACGACTTAAACTGGGGAAAACCCAAGCTCCTGCTGTGCTGTTCTGCCCCACCTCCCAAGTTTGTGCCCCTGTGCAGTCATGCAGGTGCTTCTCTGCAAACGCAGCAGTGTGAGTGGGGAAGGCAAAACCTGCTTCTCTAGCCTTGTTTGGGTCACTTCTGGAAGCGCTAAACCCCACGGCAGCTACTGGGCTGTGGCAATGTTAATCAGCTCCGTAGCTGACCTTTGGGAGGATAAAGGAAGCACGACCGTGCCAGGAGAGGGCTGCAGAGCCGGGGGAAGTGCAATGCCCTTTCGACACTGTGCTTTCGTTGGGCAGGGGCCAGTGGTGAAAGGGCAT